GTTCCTGGAATTCTTGATATGTATCCCCTATGCAGAAGGCAGGGAATTACTGTACAGGAAAAAGATGACGAGGTTATATATATTAACCAAAGCTCTAAACTTTCAAGGGTCATTACTTTTACATTTTAAGTAGATTTTTAAAATGCTACTTGGATAAAGGGTTGTTCCTAATTCAAGGACTTTTTGTCCTCAATTCAAAATGCTAAACTATGACTTTAAAAAAACTGTAATTCAAATATATACTATCTATAGACATTTACTCTAAATCCAAGGACACAACAGATTTCAAGTGAAAAAAATGCAAAATTATATCCCATAAAAACAGTAAACTATAGGACTAGGGTGACTATTTCATTATACACAAAATAAAAATTAAGACAAAAATTGACAATAAAGGGGACAAGAGGAATTACATACTGGTAAAAAGGTCAGTTCATCAAGAAGATATAACAACTATAAATTTGCATGCACCTAAATTTACACACAACTTTATTATAAAAAAATAATACGCCCTTCTTATATTAATCTTCATTTTAAGTCCTATACTTGGCCAAAAAATAACAGAAGAGGGAACCAGCAGTTAGCGTAATGGCTATGTCGCTGGACTCCCACGTAGTCGACCGTGGTTCGCGTCTCGGACCCGGTGGCTTAAATCTCACGCCGGTCGCGTGTGAATGCGTGCCCAAGATCCCGAGAGGAGAATGGAGGAGAAGGGATTGCGGCATGACCATCCCCCTGGGGGGTGATTTCTCACTTTCTGTCTCTATGTCTCTGTCTGTCTGGCGAGCGCACACACCCTATAGCGAAAACCTCTCCAAAAAAAATAATAAAAATAACAGAAGAGTCACTTTTCTTTTAATTTTCCCACATCTTAAAATTAAAAACACAAATATTATATATGCTTCTTGAAAAAGAGGACCGGAGGTTAAATTGAACTAACTGACTCTCCAAATCAGTAACCCAAAACAGGTAAAAAATTTAGAAACATGGGGCCACAGATGACATAGGAAGTACATCACTGGACTCCCACATGGTGGAGGCAGGCAGAGGACAGATCAAGTCCTGAACCCAGTGGCCTCAAACTCAGCCTAGGCCCTTTCTGTGCCTGCCCAGGACTCCAGGAGAAGAATGGAGGAGTAGGGACAGCAGCATAGTTACCTCCTGGGGAATGACATCTCACTTTCCCTCTCAATGTCACTGTTTTTCTCTCTATCCCCAATGATCACACATGCCCTAAGGCAAAAACCTCTTAAAAACCAAAAAATATCTTAAGTAACCTAAAAGTTAATTCACAGCTACAAATCATTCACTAAATTTTTCTAAATAAAACCCAAAAACTAATAGAAAATTATAAGAAAGAAAGCACAAGGTAGGTACAAAAGAAATGAGACAGTTAAGACAAAAAGACTATGAAAATTAACATTCAGCTACTCATATGCTACACTGTGAATGTGAATTAGTTAAGCTGATTATGCACCATGTTTTTGGATAATTTCTTTTTAATAATTCAAGAACTTTGTATCTTCATCCCAAACATAAAGGAATTTAAGGCCTAACCTGATGTAGTTTATTAAATGGAGTACTGGGGAGGGGCAAGAGAGGACACTAACAAAACAATGAGAATGGCTCCCATCCCCTTATATTAAGTATCCAAAGTAGCAAAATTTAATTTGGACACGCAGCTTCTAGTCAAATCCTGAAAATACTGGATCTCTCTTTATAAAAATAAGAAAGAAAAATATAATTTTGCTAGCTGTAACACCCTTATGCAAAAACACACAAAAATAAATAACTATGACTCAAAAACAGCTAAACTAACTGCTCAAAAAGTTGGATCTCCATCCTCTATTTTTAAGTTCCTAAAAATATTAGAAAAACATTTCATAATTTCATATAAGAATCTTTTAAGAATATTGAATTCCAAAATTAAGTAATACAAACAGCTGTAACTGCACAATTAAGAGCCCAACATTTCAATGTCTTCAAGTGCAAGGAAAAAGAAACTGAGTTAGCACTTTTTAAAATACTTTTCTTTTAATTCTCCAACTACAGGTCCCTGAAAATCCTACACAATCTTTTAGTTGTTAGTAGCCCATTCATTCTACATACTTTTCCAACTCAAGCAATGAATCTCTGAAGAAATAGTTCTCCCTTTGAGGATGGTCTCAATTTTCTTTTATTCTAAGAGAAACCCTAAGAAGAAAACATTCCAGCATGGATTTTAAATTTAAAAAAAAAAAAAAGAAAGGCGAAGGGGTAGAAAGCATTTAAATTTCAGTTCCCAATTACACATGAAATGAGATTAAGAGGAAAAGGAAGAGAGGAGGATAGACCAGGTTCCTCACAGAATGTTCCTGTACTGTTCAAAAAAAGAGGGATTCTCCTAGGTAATCCAGACATAGGTTCTAACGCCAGCATCGTTGGCCTGAAAAACTCCCCTGAACATGTTAGGTAGACCGACATCCTACAGACTGAGGAAAGGAGAAAAGAGATAGTTGCAACGACCAAATCCTCCGGCGCTCGTGCGTGCATTAGTTCTATTAGGAATAAAGGGCTGTTTTTTTTGTTTGTTTGTTTTTGTTTTTTCCCCTCTAGAACAAGTGTGTCCTTTGGAGAAAGAGAAAAGTGAGCAATCACCCAGTGAGTAATGGCCATGCAATCATCCCTTCTCCATTCTCTTTTCAGAATTTTGAGCACAAATACGCCCAGGACTTGATTTTCAAGAGGAAAATATTCAGTTCAAAAGTCGCCCATGCAGGTTACTACTGCATTGTGGGATACAGCAGCCTTAACCTCCAAGCCACCTGCTGGCCCCTTAATGTACTCTTTTAAGAAAAAAATCAATTAAAAAAAGGTATAAAACGATGATGCATCACAATTATTTTGGTCTGATGTCTTCCTATATCACCTGCCATCCTTGGCCAAAGTGTATGCATGTACGTGACGCCAAGAGCTGAGATCCTGGGAGCCGCTGCCCTGTACATCTGCCCCACGCAGTAGGCCCGCTAACCAATAAATCGGCTGAGAAGGAAGGGAGACCACAACCGTGGTTGCAAACTTCAGACCCGGTTAAATACAGTAGCTTCGCTACGCAACACCCTCACTTAGACAATCAGTGGCGCACCACACAAAGCGCTCTGCGCATTAGCTACAAGCGGAAGGATGGCATGGACCCTGTAAAAACTACGGATTGCAATACCCAAGACACAAAAACACACAAAAATAAATAACTATGACTCAAAAACAGCTAAACTAACTGCTCAAAAAGTTGGATCTCCATCCTCTATTTTTAAGTTCCTAAAAATATTAGAAAAACATTTCATAATTTCATATAAGAATCTTTTAAGAATATTGAATTCCAAAATTAAGTAATACAAACAGCTGTAACTGCACAATTAAGAGCCCAACATTTCAATGTCTTCAAGTGCAAGGAAAAAGAAACTGAGTTAGCACTTTTTAAAATACTTTTCTTTTAATTCTCCAACTACAGGTCCCTGAAAATCCTACACAATCTTTTAGTTGTTAGTAGCCCATTCATTCTACATACTTTTCCAACTCAAGCAATGAATCTCTGAAGAAATAGTTCTCCCTTTGAGGATGGTCTCAATTTTCTTTTATTCTAAGAGAAACCCTAAGAAGAAAACATTCCAGCATGGATTTTAAATTTAAAAAAAAAAAAAAGAAAGGCGAAGGGGTAGAAAGCATTTAAATTTCAGTTCCCAATTACACATGAAATGAGATTAAGAGGAAAAGGAAGAGAGGAGGATAGACCAGGTTCCTCACAGAATGTTCCTGTACTGTTCAAAAAAAGAGGGATTCTCCTAGGTAATCCAGACATAGGTTCTAACGCCAGCATCGTTGGCCTGAAAAACTCCCCTGAACATGTTAGGTAGACCGACATCCTACAGACTGAGGAAAGGAGAAAAGAGATAGTTGCAACGACCAAATCCTCCGGCGCTCGTGCGTGCATTAGTTCTATTAGGAATAAAGGGCTGTTTTTTTTGTTTGTTTGTTTTTGTTTTTTCCCCTCTAGAACAAGTGTGTCCTTTGGAGAAAGAGAAAAGTGAGCAATCACCCAGTGAGTAATGGCCATGCAATCATCCCTTCTCCATTCTCTTTTCAGAATTTTGAGCACAAATACGCCCAGGACTTGATTTTCAAGAGGAAAATATTCAGTTCAAAAGTCGCCCATGCAGGTTACTACTGCATTGTGGGATACAGCAGCCTTAACCTCCAAGCCACCTGCTGGCCCCTTAATGTACTCTTTTAAGAAAAAAATCAATTAAAAAAAGGTATAAAACGATGATGCATCACAATTATTTTGGTCTGATGTCTTCCTATATCACCTGCCATCCTTGGCCAAAGTGTATGCATGTACGTGACGCCAAGAGCTGAGATCCTGGGAGCCGCTGCCCTGTACATCTGCCCCACGCAGTAGGCCCGCTAACCAATAAATCGGCTGAGAAGGAAGGGAGACCACAACCGTGGTTGCAAACTTCAGACCCGGTTAAATACAGTAGCTTCGCTACGCAACACCCTCACTTAGACAATCAGTGGCGCACCACACAAAGCGCTCTGCGCATTAGCTACAAGCGGAAGGATGGCATGGACCCTGTAAAAACTACGGATTGCAATACCCAAGACAGCCATAGATCATAATATCCAAGACGGAACGTGGTGGCGGTGTGGTCTAATAGAGAATACATGGAGCTCAGAACCCGTACGCCGGTCACCCGGGACAGACACACCTGGCGAGGCCGCTCTTTCAGTAGAACTACTGTGCCCCCCAATTCAGTCCTGGTCCCTGACCTCAGTCAGCCTCCAAGCTTTAGACACCCTCCACATCTATCAATTCCACCGTAATCCATCCACCTGTTCCACTGTCTGAAGCTGTGTGAAACAACAAAATGTTCATCCAGGTAAAAAGCAACCCGCGAGAATACGTAAACACACATATGCACAAGGCCATGGGCTACTACCGAAGCATCTCTCGGACTGACCTTCTGCCGCAGCTGCTCGTCAGTTTAACCCTATGGCCTTAACTGATTCCGAGCCACTTCCTCTTCAAGTAGCCAGCTTTACCAGCGTCGCCACGAGGTCATAAGGAGAACCCGGACCAGCAGAAGAGAAGCTTCACGGAAGTTCTAGTGTCTTGCGTCTAGGTTCGATACCGGTTAACCAATCCCCTCAGGCGAGGATTCCCACGTGACCGGAGGAGGTTGACTCTCTTCTCAAGGAGGAGGGAGCAGTTGAAAGTGATAGCTCCAATCCGAGACTCTAAAAGAAATTCTGGAGCTGACTACAAGTCCCAGAAGGCAATGCAGCCACAGTTCTCAATGTGACTGCTAACAGTATTGGAGCATAAAGCGGAGTTCTGAGAAGGGAGGGGTAATCCTTGTTGCTGAGTATTACTTCCAGGGGCGGTGCTCCAGGGAACTGAAGGTACTCTGTTTTTCTGGGAAGTTTTTATGAGTATTCTTGTGCTTCATAGGACCCGAGTATGTGTACAGGCATGAAGTTCTGTTTTCGTTCTTGTTACGTCTTTCTAAGGAGTGATAGTGCTGTTAGTAGCTAGAAATATTTGGAGATAGCAGAAAGTACTTAATGGTTTTAAAGGGACCTCTTACGGGTTTTCAGAATTTCAGTTTTCAGGCTCCAGAGCTAACCCAGAATTTTGTTTTTCCGCCAGAGTGGTGACCACCGTTTACCTCACTTATCTTTGTGAGGGTTGCGCACCATGTCTCGTTTGTCTCCATGGCTTTGATCTCAATGTTCTGCCATAAGTCTTTGCTTAGTACATATTGAATGGATTCTGTTTTCTTCGCCATCACTTGTATTAACTTTAAAACAATTACTTGAATCATTTTTTTTTCCCTCCTTGTACGAAAGGTGGAAACGGGAGGCTCACCGAATAATGTTACTTATTTTCATCTGATGGAATCAGTGTGCCAAGATCCAAGATTTAGGGAAAACAGAGTTGTCTTTCGATTTTTGTAAAAAATCTTTATTTTAAAGTTATGTAGTACTTTCATGCTGTTGGTGAAATTTATTCCTGTCTTTTGTTTTTATAGTTGTCAGAGAGTGCATATTTTAAGGGAAGAGGAAGAAATTACCCCATACTTGGACAATCTTTCCACTATCTCAGTTTCTTCATCCTACAGGGATGTGAGGCACACACTCATTTGCCTGGCATATTTTCTGAGTCCTTATATCCGTTCTTGAACTATTGAGTGGCAGTGTGAGATTCTCAACCAACAAGCCACAGTTAGCATTGGAGCTTATTGCAATTAAAGAATCATAAGTGAGTTTTTGGATTAGTCATTACTATACATAGAAAGGGAACTGATTTTTCTTTTCTTTGACATGACTGTTTATGTAAAGAGAACTGATCTTTTCTTTGACGGATTTTTTTAAAAATTTAATTTATGTATTTAATCACTCTACCTAGCTATAGCTTGTAAAGAGTAATGTTACCCAACATACATACCCTTCACATCAGCCCAGCTGAATACACTGTATATTTTATCAACAGATGATTGTACTTTTCTGTGTCCCATAAATGTCTTGCCTCTTCTATGTTACAATCTGATACCTTTCTCTACCGTCCCTTCCTTCTCTCACCCTGTTCCCACACTATCTCCAGTATCCCTAATCTTTTGTTTTTAACAGAGTGCAGACAGACTGTATATCTTAAGCAGACACAAACAATGGCTTCTTTTATAGCCTGGCTTGGATCACTCAGCAGTAAATCTTCTATATTCAACCACTTTCTATCAAATGTCAGGGTCTTATGTTTTATGGCTGAGTAGTATTTCTTAGAGTATATGTGCCACACTTTTTCAGTCTGTTTGTTCATAGATACTTGGGTTCGTGTCATGTCATAGCAATTGAGAAAAATGCCACAAAAAAACATAGATGTGAAAGTACTCTTTCTGACTGAGCATTCTATTTTGGGTAGATATCCAGGATTAGAATTCCCACAACATATGGGAGTTTCATTTGTAGATCTTTGAGGAACTTTCATATTTTTCTCCATAGTGGTTGGACTAATTTACATCCGTAACAACAGTGTAGAAGAATTTCCTTTTCACTACAGCCCCATCATCACTTTGTTTTTTTGTTTTGTTTTGTTTTTAGTCTTAGCCATTCTAACTTAAGTTACATGGAATCCCATTATGGTTTTGGATGGGATTTCCTTTATGATGAGTAGTGGTTAGCATTTTTTTTTCATTTGCTTTTTGGCTATTCATATATCTCCATTAGAGAGTTCTTTGTTTAGCTCATTTTCCCATATTTTAATTGTTTTTTTTTTTTTTTTTTTTTTTAATAAACTGCTTAAGGTCCCTGTGGAGTCTGATTTTTCAGTCCTTTTCCCAAGACATAGTTTACAAAATTGTCTCCCATTCCCAGGGTAGTCAGTTCCCACTAATTATGTGTCATTTGTTTGGAGAAACTTCTTGATCTCATGACATTCCTCTTTTCTATTTTTGGGATTATTTTCTGTGGTTTGGGGGTCTTAAGAAATGTTTTCCTACTGCAATAACTCCCAAGTTCCACCAATATTTCCTATAAGTAGTCTTATAGAATGAGGTCAAAATTTTAGATCATTGATCCACTTTGAGTTGATTTTTGTTAATGGTGAGAGATAAAGGTCTAAGATTCATCATTCAGCAGGTGGATAGTCAGTTTTTCCAGCATTATTTCCTGAAGAGGTTTTCTTTTTCCCACTTGATTGGTTGGTGTCCTTTTTAAAAAATCAGTTAGCTGTGTCTTTGGGGGTTTGTTTCAGGGGTCTCTATTCTGTTTCATTGGTCCACATGTCTGTATTTATGCCAATTCCATGCTATTTTGATTACCACAGCTTCGTAATAAATTTTGGAGTCAGGGAGTGAGATACCTCCTACTCCATCCTTCTTGTTCAGGATTGCTTTGGCAATATGGGGTCCAGACAAATTCTATGATTGTTTTCTCTAAATCTATGAAGAATGTGTCAGGTTATTTTATTCAGATAGTGTTAAATATGTGGACTAATTTTGGTGGAATTGGCATTTTGATTATTTTAATAATTCTGGTCCAAGATCATGAGATATCCTTTCACATTTTTGTATCCTTTTTATTTATTCCTTTAGGTTTTCATAGTTTCTGGCAGAGGCCTTTGACTTCTCTGGTTAGATTTATTCCTAGGTATTTCATGCTTTTTGTGGCTATGGTAAATGGGATTATGTTCTTCAGTTCTCTCTGTGTCTGTTTGTTATTTGTATATAGAAATACTGTAGATTTTTGTAAGTTGATTATTTTAATCTTGCCACTTTACTGTATTCATTTTTAACTTGAGGAAGATTTTGGTGATATCTTTGGGTCTTCTATGTATACAATCATATCATCTGCAAATAGAATTTCACTTCTTTTTTTCCTATTTGAATGCCTTTTATTTTATTCTCCTTTCTGATATATATAAATCCAGCACTATATTGAAAAGGAGTGTAGAAAGTGGGCAGATTTGTCTTGTACCAGTTCTTCGTGGAAAGGCATTAAACTTTTCCCATTCAGTACAATGTTAACTATAGACTTATTTATTTATTTTTTTTGGAGAAGTTTTCGCTATAGGGCGCGTGCGCTTGCAAGACAGAGAGCTAGAAAGCGAGAAATCACCCCCCCAGAGGGGATGGTCACGCCGCAATCCCTTCTCCATTCTCTTCTCGGGATCTTGGGCACGCACACACACAAGCCCGGCGTGAGTTTTAAGCTACCAGGTCCGGGACGTGAACCGCGGTCGACTACGTGGGAGTCCAGCGACTGCTGGTTCCCAACTATAGACTTTTCATAGAAGGCTTTTATTGTGTTGAGAAATGACCTCTCTATTTGATTTTGCTGAGAATCTTAATCATGAACAGATGTTGAATTTTGTTGAATGCTTTTTCTGTATCAATTGAAATGATCATATAGTGTTTTCTTTTTTTCTGTTAATATAGTGTATAGCATTTATGATTTTGCATATGTTGAACCTTAATATGCCTGGAATAAGACTTGCCTAGTCATGATGAATAATGTTTTCTGTGTGTTGTTGGGTACATTTTGCTAGTTTCTTGTAGAGAATTTTTCATATGCATTCACAGAGATATTGGTCTGTAGTTTTAGTTTTTGATCATGCCCTTATGTGTTTTGGGGATGATGTGATGAAGGTTTCATAAAATGATTTTGGGAGTGTTCTTGCCTTTTGGATCTCTGAAATAGTTGGAGTAAAATGGGGTTACCTGTTTTTAAAAGTTTGTGGAATTTAGAAGTGAAGCCATCAGGACCTGGACTTTTCTTTATTGGAAGTTTATTTATTATTGATTAAATCTCCTTGTTTGTTATGGATCTAAACAAGCTTTATATAACCTCCTGGTTCAATCTTGGTAGATTAAATATGTCCAGGAATTTGTGCATCTCATTCAGGTTTTTTCATTTGTTAGCATATAATCACTCACAGTATCTTCTAATAATGTTTGTATTTCTATTGTGTCTGTTGTCTGTTGTAATATTGCCTGCTTCTTTGGGAATTTGACTTACCTTGTTTCTTTCTCTCTTCTAATTGATACAGTTAACGGTGTGTCAGTCTTCATATTTTCTAAGAACCACGTGAGCTCGCAAGACAGAGAGAGAGAGACAGAGAGAGAGACAGAGACATAGAAAGCAAGAAATCACCCTCCAGAGGAGATGGCCAGACCACAATCCCTTCTCCTTCATTCTCCTCTTGGGATCCTGGGCACGCACGCACACTCGCCCAGCGTGAGTCTCAAGCCACCGGATCCAGGAAGCGAACCGCGGTCAACTACATGGGAGTCCAGCGACGTAGCCATTATGCTAACTGCTGGTCCCAAAGAACCAGCTCTTTTTAAAATTTTATTTCAGTATCTTTTCTACATTTAGTCACATGTCACAACTTCCAAAGTGAATATTCCAACAGCTTTTGCTTTCATTATTTTCTGTGTAGCTTATTTATCTTCTATTTTATTTTTTACTGTTGTAATCTTTATCACTTATTTTCTCCTGGCTTTTTTTTTTTTTAAATCTTATTGGGGCATGATATTGTCTATTTGCCTTCTCTCCTTTTTTTGTTATGTATATTTATTGCTTTGACCCTCCCTCTTAGTGGCTGTTTTTGCTGTGCTGTA